CTAACGGGAGTTTGATTGTGGAGAGCTTTTGGAGGAATTTGACGAACTAGGCGGCTAATGGCTGGGCACGTTCTTCAGGTTGTTTGCACCACAGAGGTTGACTTCAGGTTGGCAGTGTCTTTGAGTGAGACACAGCGAAAGTCTTTGGCAGTGAGTAATGGAGGTCCTGTTTGCTGGCACTGTTTACGCTTTAATAGTTACAATTTAGTTCCAATAGTTACAATTTAGTTCCAATCATTGTCAGGTTCAGGTTGTTGAGATCATTAAATGTAGCCTACGCTCTCCATAATATTTATTGTAGACTACAGTAATTACTGTAGCTACAGTATTTAGAGTCTAGTGGAGAAGTAATGTTTATCCTCTCCTCTTTTCTCTTCTGGTATACAAGACACAACCAGATCAAAAGTTTTTTGAGTGTGAAGCTCTCTCTCCTTAGAAACCTTCTTGTGTGTATGACTTACTACTATTCTTGTGTGTGTATGACTTACTACTACTCTTGTGTGTGTGACTTACTATTACTCTTGTGTCTTTCTAAACATTCTCAACACGTTATCAGCACGACTCTCTTCTATACACTATCACAATTTTTTGCTCTAGTCTTTGACTCTTCAAAGCTGTTGCTACCTTTTCTCAATGTCTGCTTCATGATCTTGTTCTTCTTACCGGCCCCTCACACATTAGCTTGCTTAGAGCACTTGTTCCATTATCTGCCCTGTTTGCTTAGAGCACTTGTTCCACTCTTTGCCCTGTTTGCTTAGAATACTTGATCCAACCCAACTCCACCCCAGCTTGCTCCCTGCTCCTTGCTGCGCCCCACCCCTTTTGCCGCCGAACAACTGTCGAACCTACTACTGCCACCCTATCACCGTTGACGTTGTCGCTCGTTGCCGCCATCTGCCGCTGCTATCCACCGCTACCACCCGCCGTTGCCCGCCGCTGCCCGTCACTGCACGCCGCTGCCATCCTGCCACCTTATTGCTGTTTGCTGTGCCATCTTATTGCTATTCTGCTGCCATAATCTACAATCTCCTTAGAAAATATATATATATATATATATATATATATATATATATATTTTCATGTTCAAGTTTATCATTTTATTTGACTTTAAATTTTAAGGTATGTTTTACTCAACTTTTCTTCTTAATCTTATATTTTCTTTACAGATTTATTTATAATGAATACTTCAACATCTTCAACTGCTTCTACTATGGTTCCAATTATTACCAATGCATCCCAACATTTTCAAGCTCTTTTATTTCTACCATTGACTATGAATGGAAACAATTATCTATTATGGATTAAAATGGCAAAAGTAAATTTATTTGCAGAGCAACTCTCGGATGCCATTATGTTTGAAGAATCTCCTACAACAAGTATTTCTATATCTCCTGCTATTCGTTGAAAAGCACTTCTTCTCCTTCGTCGTCATCTTGTACCTGCATTACAACATCAATATTTAGAAATGGAAGATCCTGCAGAACTTTGGAAGAATCTTAAATCTAGGTTTGATCATCAAAAAACCATTTTTCTTCCACATACACATCATAATTGGACACATTTATGTATCTTGGATTTTCCAAATTTAAATGCTTTCAATAGTGAAATGTATAGTATTGTCTTACAATTACGATTATGTGGACAAAGCATTTCTGAAGAAGAAATGATTGAGAAAACTCTCTCTACATTTCCTCCTGTATTTGTTGTGCTTATACAACAATACAAGAACATGAAATTTCAGAGTCATTCTGATCTCATGTCCTATCTACTTCTTATAGAGAAGCAAAATGAGCTACTCTTGCACAATGCGGAAGCTCGTCCTATTGGAACTATAATTCTAGAATCTCATGCAATTAATATTTCAAAGTCTAAAAAAAAATTATATAAACATGGGAAACATGCTCATAAGTATCAGGGTAAACATAGTCAAGACCATTTCTACCCATATGGAAAGAATAAACATTCTACTATTAATTATAGTAAAAAACAAAAATCAGAGATGCGTTCTTGCCATAAGTGTGGAATGATTGGACATTTAGCACATGCATTGTCATAATGTGTGAAGTCTTGCTTAAGAATGCTCCGGGCACCTGGCTATAGAAGGAAGAATAGAAATTGCGATAACAAAATCCTAAATAGAATACTAACAATGCTCTAATTAGACTATAATAATGGTAAACAAACGTAATCCAATTCAAAACAACTCAAAGAAATTTCAAACAAACAATAAAATTCTTAAAGAAATATTAGAATAATCACAAATTTTCTTCAAATATATGTCAATTAAACTTTAATTTAATTCTAGCTAAAACCCTATTAAATTTCATTCAACTTTAGATCAAACCTAATTAAATCTTAAACCCTAATAATTCCTAAACCCTAAGTCAAATCCTAAACAAATCTTAAATTAAATCCTATTCCAAACCCTAAACCCTAAATCAAACTCTAAATCAAACCCTAAACCAAACCCTAATCCAATCCTAAATCCTAAACCAAACCTTAAATCAAATCCTAACCAAACCCTAATCCAAATCCTAAATCAAACCCTAATCAAATCCTAAACCCTAATCCAA